CTCCTAACACTGCGACCCTTACCCTCCTAACACTGCGACCCTTACCCTCCTAACACTGCGACCCTTACCCTCCTAACACTGCGACCCTTACCCTCGTAACACTGCGACCCTTACCCTCGTAACACTGCGACCCTTACCCTCGTAACACTGCGACCCTTACCCTCGTAACACTGCGACCCATACCCTCGTAAAACTGCGACCCATACCCTCGTAAAACTGCGACCCATACCCTCGTAAAACTGCGACCCATACCCTCGTAACACTGCGACCCATACCCTCGTAACACTGCGACCTACACCCTCATAATACTGTGGCCCTTACACAGTGCGACCCTTACCTTCTTAACGTTGTGACTTCCTCTCATAATATGAATATTTTCGTAATATGACTTTATTCTCGTAATAAAAAACAGATCTCATTGTGTGGCCCTAACACTGTCGTAACAAAGCAGAAAAACATTTAACTAAACTACAATGAATTAAAACTAACATTTTTGTTTTTTCCACCATTAAAGCTTCATCTGAGTCAAGATTAAAGTCATCTATCTGTACTACTAGAGTTTATCTACAGAAAACCTCCTGTAGCGTCCCGACTCACCTGTGAAGGTGAAAATGGATGGGAAGATGACGTGAATCCCGGCGCTGTGAATGTCAAACATGATTCCAAAGTAGATGGCGATGCTGCCCAAAACGGCGAAGCAGTTCACGAAGGTCCAGTACGACGTGTCCAGAGAGATCTGACAGAGACGAAGAGGACGATGAGGTCAAAAGGTCTTGTTTAAACCCTAACGTATGCCCCGGACCCTCACAAAGCCCCGACTCACCTGCAGGTTGACGGTGAAGATCAAAGAGGAGGCAGTGACGACGGCGAAGGACTGGAGGTCGGACGGAGCCTCGCCGTCCTGCCCCATGGTCTGCAGGAAGGCACCATACGGGATGAAGAAGATGATGAGCGAGACGAAGATGCCATGGAACAAACTGATGAAGAAGTTCTTGTAGTTGAACAGCCTCCCCTGCTGACCCGGGATGTAGAGCTTGGGGAACTTCAGGCTGAGTTTGTCGTTGACGTCCTGCCGGGACACCAAGGACCAGATTTGGTCAAAAATGTTCACGATAATTAAAAACCTTTAGGACGGTCTTGTGAAAGAAATCCAGTTTTACCTGATCAAGAAGTCCAACCAGAAGAACAGGTAGACTGCTGTAGGCCAGATTGTACAGAGTGATGAACCAGTCTTCATAAGCCACCTGTAAATACAAAAGACTTGTTTTAATGATGCAGGCTGGGTGGAACAAACACCAACGTTAAAAACTAAAAACTATTTTCTCCTTTGTAAGTCTCACCAACCTGTGAGGAGTATCCACTGAAGAAGGAGTACCAGAAATGGACCAGAGTGAAYGCGAAGTTCTTGAAGAAGAAGAAACGCAGGAATTTGCACATGCGGATGTAGGACCAGCGGCCGTGCACCAGCAGGAGGCGCTGCAGGTAACGGAACTGGGCGAAGGCGTAGTCGCTGGACATGACCGCCTGCATTCCCTCCTGACCGCTGATGCCCACCCCAATGTCGGCAGCTGGAGGGACGAGAAGACAAGACGTTGTATCAGAGGGTGAACAGGGACGGGAGGGAAAGCGGATTCATCCGCATCCTTACTCTTGATCATGTTGACATCGTTGGCTCCATCTCCGATGGACAGCGTCACAGCCTTCTTGTACTTCTTCACCAAACTCACAACGTTAGCTTTTTGTTTGGGCGTGACACGGCAGCAGATGACAGCTTCGCACTCGCAGGCCATGTTCACAAAGTCGATCTGTGGAC